AATAGAATAAATCTTGGCTCAACACATCCCATTTGAAGGGAAGAGTTATTGTCAATCACTGCAAGGCCAATGATTCTAAAGTTTTTGTTGTCGTTGATTTGTTTTGCTTTCACATATAACAGTCTCCCTGAAATTTCAATGCCAGCATGATTTCTCAGACCCTTTGCCTGCTGTAAAATCTTTCCTCAGATGAGGAAGATTTTCTCAGAAGATCATTTGTTATCTAATTAGGCTTTCTAAGTGGGGAGAAATCACTTGTTAATTGACTATCCCTTATTCACATAGAATTGATGCTGTTCCTCTAAGAAACAGAAAATTCCGGTAAATAAGGTCTTCAGTTGGAACAAAAGTTAGTACACTGTACTTTCCCCTCCATCCCATTCCTTGGAAGTCTAACAGAGTCAAGCTCCCTGACTGTAGGCAAATGCACATAGTTTTATTGCTGTAACGATAGTTTGAGGAATGTGAGGTTGGGAGAAGAGGTCACATCAGTGAGTGAGTGAGTGAGTGAGTGAGTGGAGGAGCACCAGTTATTGGTGAGTAATTTGCAGCACATGACAACTGTAGAGCACAAATTCAGTATTTGAGGTAATTAAGTTTTAAATCTTACTTCATTTAGATTCCAGAATCATAGGGTTTGTTAATACATGAAGAGTCTCTGCTTGATTACAGATGAACTGAGGATATATCATTGTGGTAGAATAAATTGGGTTACACTACCTCCCTTGCTTGTTTCCAGTTATCTACTGAGATTGATTTTAGAAGAAAGCGTATTATAATCCAGAAAAACACAACTTGAACTCCATAATGTCTTGTGTTGAAATCCCAAAGGATGAAAATATAATTCTGGAAAAAATAATAAAACATTCTTTATATTTATTTACATTTTAAAAGGGGGTTTATTTGAGAAAAATAAAAACAAAATAATACACTGTACACAATAAAATAGGAAAAATAGCACATATTTTTACAAGCAAAACCACTCAGGTACACTAGCAACAGTCACTCCAGTATAACAGTTATGCAGACAAACCGTATCTATAAAGAAATAGGTCAAAAATGGAAATGTATAAATGCATATCACTGTGGTTGATAATTGTGTGCACCCAGCTTTATATAACTGTAGTCATCTGAAATCCTGATGACCAAGCTAAGCTTTTTGGCAAGATGGATCAAAAAATGCAGTGGGTCACCAACACATATATAGTTACCCAAAGAACCGAGATCCTGATAAATTTTCTTTCACAAACACAGACATAAAAAATCTTTCTTTATTGAAGAAATTTCAACATGTTTGGGCACAGAGACAATGCTTATATGCAAAGTCAACGTTGTTATAATGCACTTCTGGTGGAGTCAAATTTCTGATGTCCAAGGCATTGGAAGGGAAGTCTGCCCTAGTTCTCACAGAGAAACCAGTTCCCCTCCTGTGTGTTCTATATGGGCCCCCGGCGGATCGCATGGTGCCTGCTAACATTGAGGGCAGGTCTTCTTCACCTCATCCACTCAAACTCACACACTAATGTCATCTGGAAGCACCCTTACAGACACACCCAAAAAATGCTTTAATAGGTTTCTAAGTATTTAATCAAGTGATATCTAAAATTGAATCCACAGGTCAACCCCTTGTCAACTTAGCTCCCGTAAGTATCTCCCTAATCATACTTAATTTCCAAATAAAGACTGCAACAACCGCCTAACATGATGCAACTAACATGATGTAATGATCCTGCGTATGACCAAAAACTAATCCCTTTCTCAGAATTCAGCTTTCAAGATTTCATATTCGAGATTTTAATATTTCGAGATTGTCATTTTCAGGATTGTAGACGTGAGAGATTTTAGACCTAAGGGATTTAGACTTTAGGGATTTTGTATCTTTTCAGATTTCAACATTCGGGATTATTGCACGTGGGATTGTGTCTTTCAGAATTATGATCCAAATCCATTTTAGAAAAGGTCATTGTGAGCTAGAGGTCTGAGGATATTTCTGGAAATATTTTGGTGACATACAGGTTTTTTAATACTTCTTTTGGCCTATATGTCTGCATAAAAAGAAATGGGATTATGATAACTTTGAAATAACATTTTACATTAGGATTTAATTCCCACTCTCATTTACTATTAAATTGAGAACCTGGGGTTTTTGGCCCTTGTTATTTTTTATTCCTTTATCTTTGACCTATATGTATATAAAATATAATATTTGGATTAGTTTCCAATAAATGCTTATTTAATTGAATTTGAATTTATTATATTGAAACTTTTTAAACTACCCATCTGTCCTAGCCTGACATTTGTGTTAGTTTGTTATAGTTCTTGTAATAGAACATGTATCTTTTCCCCCAAAATTAGTAAAATGTAGTTTTATAAATACCCCAAAAGAAACTGAGTCACATTTCTTTACTAACATTACTGAGATGATGTGAGAAGAATTAACTCAACATTCTTAATAATGGAAATGTAGTAATCAATATAGTTGATGGTTGTTTTGATGATACTTATTTTTCTTCTCAGAAACAAGTGGGTTTTCTGTAAGTATCCAATGTCTTCTCACTCTAAAATATTTTTTCATTATCAAGAGTTAAATAAAAGAGAAGATTGCTGATGGAAAAACATGCTGCAAGAATGCAGGGATGAAATGTAAATAAACCATGTTAAATAATGGTCAAAATGAAGAAGACACATTATTTGCAGTATTTTGTGTGGAATGCCCTATCCTGGAACCTTTAATAACTAGGATAATTACGAACTCAGTTTTCTGGAGTTGTATTCTGTTTCTTATTCATTATTATGAAAGCTGAGAGATCCTTTTTTTTTTTTTTTAAGCAATTGTGGTTTGAAGGTGTAATTTAAACTTAAAAAGACAAAAGATGCATAGGCATATTATATCACTATTGTGATTTTGTTATCCTTTTTATATGTTCATCATAAATTTTTGTATTCTGTTAAAAATCACTCTGAAACAGACAGTGGGTCCATTTTTCATGAGTAGATCATATTAAATTTTATTTGGAATATCTCAGATAATGATTTGTATCATGTTGGTAAGGGACAAGATGGTGAGACTGGATAATACAAATGCTAGACTTATATGGTTAGTTATTAATTACCTGTATTTCCTTAAGCAACTCTCTTTAAAGCCAGACTCCAATAGTGAGTTCTTTTGTAATCAAGTCTCCTTAGTTTCCTCATGAGTAAATTTCAGTTATTGTTTTTCTTAATATAATAAGTTCTTGTTCTGATCTCACCACAAAAAAAAAAAGTGGTAACTAGCTGAGTTGATGGAGTTATAGCTTGATTATGGTAATTATTTCACAAGGTATAGGTATATCAAATCATCAAATCGTACACCTGAAATATAAGGAGTCTTGATTTGTCAAATACACCTCAATTTAAAAAGTGTTCTTTAAATAAATGTTTTGTAGAAAAAAAAAAAAAAAGTTCTTCAAAAGAAATCTTAAATCTCCAAATGTAAACAGGGAAAAGCGGAACTCCCCTGGTTCCACGGAGCACCTTTTTTTGAGGAAACTTAGGCAACTCCAGGTATTCTATGTCATGAGGCAGAGTTTGAAAACTGCAATTGACTCTCTAAACTTCCTCCCGGGTCTAAAATGTGATGATAGTCACTATTTCAATACATCATCCTGAAAGAAAATTGTTAGGTCCACACTGTTTCTATCCTTTGAATTTTACACGTAAATTTAGAAACCAAAAGTTTATTTGTAATATCAGATGGAATCAGATCATTGTTTTTGGTTGGTTGTTTATTTTCCACTGACAGGAACATAAGATTTTGTTGTGTAGCTTAAATCAACTGCAGTTTGGAATATATTTTTTTAAAAAATTGTAACTTATATATCCAAATACAATTTTTCAAGAAGTATTCAGTAGAAATTAATCTGTGAAAGAAAAGGAAATCAGCAGTGCCTTATTTGATGAATGATTTAACATGCTTATTTCTTTCCTTTCATCAAAACTCTGTGTCCCCTTGTTTGCCCCCTCTGACTTCATACTCTGGAATTGACTAAGATCCCTCTTCCATCAGATTATTCTGAGAATCTTGAAATAATCTGCTTTTTCCTCTCTTTCCCTGTTGCTTCTGATGCCTTAGAATTACATTTTCCTTGCTGATTTAGTTTAGAAAAGAGAAAAGAGCTTCCATGACTAGTAGATTATCACTTTTGGGTTTGCTCTTGGAAGTGACAAGATGCTAGGATCCCTCTTTGGAATGTAAAATTTATCTCTTATATAGAAATGATATAAATGTGCACCAGAGACTATAAAACTCTGATACTATCTACTGTACTGTATAGCTGAATGCCACAATGTGTCTAGTAATCTACTGACTATCATAAATGCTATTTCTACAGAAAAGTTAGGAGGCCCATATTTCAGGCAACCAATGTATAGTTGAACGCAGAACAGTCATAGTTGGGTACTAACCATATTGGTTTATCCATCAACAGGTGCGTATGCTCAGAAATTCTGTATCCAAAAGAAATCAGAGTACTTTCTTTTCCTTTTGCAAGCAAATTGAATTTAGCCTGAGAAGCTGAGGGGAAATTTTCACATATAAGCCTGGTTTTGTGTTTTGTGTTTTGTTTTGTTTGTAGATATAGTACTAACTGGATGGATGCAATAAAATTCATAGGTGGTACTAAGATACAATAAGATTTGTGAAATGGACAATTGTCTTGCATCAATAGCAAGTAAAAAATCAAGCCTGTCCTTCATACAAATTTTATTCTGGGGTGTGCTTGTTTTCCAAAACTATCTCTACTAAATCTCCTGTTAGTCCTGAAACTAGAAGGCAGAAAAGCTTCTAGTGCTACAGCCAACTGCAGTGTAGCCTGAGAAACAGGCAACAAAAATAGAACACCAGGATTGCTGTGCGTGGGTGAGGCAGAAACCACATTATGAGCAAAAGCTTCCAGTATTATTTTAGAACCAATACAGAGCTCTGCACTTCTCTCCTCTCTCTTCCAAAAACACATACTACAAAAATAAAATGAAATGAAATGTATGTGCATTTGCCCTCTTAGAATTATGATTCTTAATTTTTTTTCTTGCCTTCCTTTCTTTGGAAGCGAATCGCCAGTATGGAAACACAGTGTGTAAAGCAAGCTTCGAGGGAGGAAAGAGTTAATTGCTTTTAAGGCCCTGCAATAGAGAATTATGGTTTGAAAGATAGAGGCTGGACAGCTGGGTTTGCTGGGGTATTTTTAAATGCATTAATGCAGGCTCCAATCACTCGGCCATGCTTGACCTATTTTTGGCTCAGGCCGACCATTGTTCTATTTCTGTGCCTGTGGGCCATGCTGTTGTTGATTCATATGCAAATGGATTATCACTAGCTTTAGCCAACTTGAGCTGAGAGAGACTGAGAAAGGGGGAAGAGAGGCACAGACACAGATAGGAGAAGGGCACCGGCTGGAGCCACTTGCAGGACTGAGGGTTTTTGCAACAAAACCCTAGCAGCCTGAAGAACTCTAAGCCAGGTTTAATTGGTTTCTTTTTCTCGTGGGTAGACTTAATAATTTTCTACTTATTCTGACAAAGAAATAACCCCGAAGCACGTTCCTGTTTCCCACCTGCTTGTAGTTTCCGGGATAACCTAAACTCCAGAGAGCTGTAGCATCCACTCTGTCCTTTCTGCTTTGCACACAGGTTGGTAACATGGGAAAAGTGTCCAGGTCTTTTTAAAAGTGGATGCCCATTTGAGCAGAAAGGAAATCATTGTTGAAGTTGATCCTCTGCTGCTTCTCCTCAGGGAGGAGGGAGAGCCAGCGAGGGTAGCTCCTGGGGCCGGTGCACTGAGCAGTGATGAATGTTTCATGTAGCTGAAGTAAGAGTGACTGGAATATGCTGCAGACAATTTATGAGAGTGACTCCTGTTTTTCCTCAGATGGGGTGGCTGGACGAGAGCAGCTCTTGGCTCAGCAAAGAATGCACAGTATGATCAGCTCAGGTAAGATCCTCTTTCATAACTGAGACGATTTAGGTTTGAAAAGGGGCTGGCTTGGGAAATGCAGCTAAGAAAAGCACCTCTCTTAAGGAAATTGCTGCTTTTTCATGTTGATGTTGCTATTTTCTTGGTGCGTCTGTAGGGTTTAACTTAGATCCCTTCCATTATTGTTTCTGTGCATATTCAGTCTGCTTAGGGACAGCAGCTTCTGAATGAAATTGCAAACTATTGCTTCTGATGAAAGATGAGACTGAGATAAGTAAAATGTAGTTGGGGGTGTTTTGCCTTTACTATGCAACTAGAAAAAGGAGATCTGTACTGATTGTAAGCCTATTCTAATAGGACTTTAAAAATCAGGTAAGTTCATTTTGGGGCTTCAGTTTAAATTGCAGCCCCGCTAGCCTGACGATTTTATATTTACTGTGTGCCTACAGAAGCATATCTATTTATAGACCTACCTTCTAAAATGTGTTTGCTACAGAGTTATAAAGGTAGTTTTCTTCTTTCCATTATGTGGCTTTTTCTCATCAGCCCCAAATGAAACTGTTTAGGATGAAATAAAATTGTTATTAGCAGATGCTTATTTTAATTTTCTTCAAAAACATGTGGGAAGTCTAGCATTGTCAGGCAGATGTGATGGCATAACACACATGTAAATGTGTTAAAAGCAGGTGCAGCATTTTAAAGGATAATAGGAACAGATTCTAATTTCTAGTTTCTCAGGGAGATGAGCTGGTGGGAGATGGAGCTTGTCAGCCTTGTCAATTTATACTTACTAAATGAACATACTCTCCAGGCAATATCACTTACTTGTAATTATTGCCTTTCTTATTTATTTCCTATGGCTATTTCCTAAAGCTTTGGGAACTCTTTGTTTCTGTCCTCTTCTGAATGATTCAACCTAAAATTGGCTTAAAGTTCCCACTCAGATCCCACCTCCCATGTGGGCTTAATCGTAATTATAGATCACCGCCTAGATTTCCATGATAAGAATGCCACATAAAGCAGTGTTTACTTTGTAGAGCTAGGTGTGAAAGAAATATTCCACAGGTTGGCATGATGTCTGTTTTGGTGTTAATATACCTTCCCCATATGCGGATCTATGTTTAAAGCTAGTTTTCTTTAAACCTTGGTTAGTTATGATGATTTTAAGATCCTTCTGTTGACCCCATCTTTTCATGGAATCAGAATAAAATATCACTTTTGCACAATTCGGTATTTATACACTTAAGTGACAGGAATTATGTTAATGAATAGTGCCTGCTTAACAAAAGCAAACCTACCAGAATTTCGGTACAGTTTATTCTTATAGCTGCAAAACTGACAAGGGCTCTAGGAGGGTTTAACAGGTGTGTCTCTAATGGGACTGGTCATTTAACTTAGCATTTTATTTTTAAAAATATGGATGAACTCTTTGAAAATAACTAGTTTAGAAATCTTGTCAGCACTATGCTTTATCCTTTTAGTCTTCACTTCTGTGTTACAAGTTCGATATTTTTTTCATGTGGTAGAAACATACATGCCTTCCAAGTAGCAAGTGTCTGCTGACGCTAAGACTGGCTACAGGTGTTTGCAAGCTTTGCTTTTTTCTCCACATCTTTGATAATCACATACAACTTTGCACCCATTTCAGTAGAGATTGTTATTTTCCTAGCATTTAATGGTTTGTGTACAAAGCAACAAGATTTTCAGACAGGGAAGTGCTTCAGGCTGTCCATGCTTTTGCCAGTTCTACGAGAAGCAACGTTTAAGCACCAGCTAGCTATTAAATGAAAGGTAATGTAGGTTAACCTCGACTCCCAAAACCTGTCTGGTATAAATACATAATCACTAAGTTCTATTTATTTTTAAAATTTGAACCATAAAAACAATTGTACCCTTCCTACCGTGCCATATTCCTACCATGCCATATATTTCATATGTGTTCTTAAATTTAATTTACCTAGTCTTTATTGTATACTTCCTGTGAGACACTGGCTCTCCAAGTTGTACTCACCAGAAGCACTTTACAAAATATGATACCTAGATTCCACTCCCAGAATGTCTGATTTAATTGGTGTGGGGAACAGCGTGGGGATTGAGGTTTTAAAAATCTCCCCACCTATTTTAACCTTCAGCAAACTGCGATCCACTGCTGTAGGGCTAGGGAACGGATGGTGATGCTGGTGAACTACTATCAGTAGGTTTTGTCCTTTAACTGCTAAATTAGGGGTGTGTTTGTCTTAATTTAACTACAAATCTTGTTCAGCTCCCTTTTGGACCAGTGGTCTGGATGTGATTCATAGGCTTAGAAGCAGAGTCTTTAGACTTGAAAGAGAGACAGGATGCCTGGTAGCAGTGCAGAGGAGTGGAGAGAGCACTGTTCAAGGAGTCAAACACTCTGTATTCTAGCATGAGCTCCACTGCTAGCCAATTGTGTACTGATTTTTTACTCATCTTCAAACGGATGAATAATGATGTCCTCCTGCTTGCCTCTTAGCATTCTTGTGAGGTTCAAATATATCAATATATATTTAAAACATATACTCACTATTATAATTGTTGTTTTTAGTGAATGAACCTAGGATCCTGATTTTCAATGCCATGTTCTAGATTATCCAGCTGAACAAGCCAGATGAGTTACATTGTAGGTCACATGGGGGAAGTGATCGTTTGTTTTGATAATCAGTTTGCCTTGGTTATCTTGTAAATCAACTATTTCTTTTGTTATCTTGGTTTGATAAGAGTTGAGATCTTTCCTATGCAGATTATGACTATAGGTAAGAGTGGGGTGTGTGTGTGTGTGTGTGTGTGTGCTCTGTGAAATGTCTCGTTATGTAATAAAGGCAAAGAAGTTGCACAGTATGTGATTGAACAGTGAACCCCAATGGCAGATTTCTTGAGATTATTTTTAAAACGTTGGTTCTGTCATGTAATCTCTTTAGCAATTGCTTTAGAGTTCGCATTTGTTGTTCTAGTTATATTGGATATTATGCACTAATATAGATGGTTTTTGTTCAGAGCTCTTTATATACTATTGGAAGACAAGTGTTTTTTTATTGTTGTATGTTTTTCTGACATTGGCTCAGCCAGGCTGAACATGTTTGGTAGAACCAGGTTCTATAATATTGTACTAATATATTTTAGTTTAAAATTCTATAATATTAAATCTTAGAATTCAGTATGAGTGACACAGTTTGTCAAGTGCATCCCTACTTTTGTGGCTTGTGTGGGCCAGTGTAAGTGATAACTGTGGCAGAAACTGAAGCATGTACAAATATTGACTCAGGTCACTCCGCAGGAGCTGGCAAGATTAGGGGTGTTCTCCCATTGCCAGGCATGTGGCTTAACACATTGGGCAGCAGAGCTATCCAGACAATATTGGAACAATTATTATGAAGGAATTTCCTAGAGCTTACAGAAGTAATGTAAGTTATATTTACAATAAGGAAAGCTCATATTTTGGCCATCTATTCTTATTTTAGGGTATAAAAGAAAAACATTTAAATCAAAATCCTGAAATTCTTTTATATGTCTTTACCCATTTTTGAATCCTTTTGTTCCTTAGTGTGTGGTGTTGAGGGGAAGGGAACATTTTAGATTCAGTAGTCACGTCACTTATGTCTACTTGAAAAGCAGAATCTAATTATGAAAATGTAAGTCTGTGAAATGTTCCTGTCATGTCAAGAATCACTTCTGGTATTCCCCATAATTACTGTTTTGCCATTCTCTAACTCAGGTTATCTTCACTTGCAAGTCTGTTATCAATTGAGATAGATGATAGGTATCAATCAGAAATATAATTATAAATAGGCTCATTGAGAATGGAGGCAAGAATGAGTATTTTATATTTCTAAGGATGACACAGAAGGCATAATTATGGTTATGTCCATTAAGTAAGAAAGTCCAATAAAACCCCTTAGAAGACTGAAATAAATCCAAATTCTGAATTCAAAAAATATTCTAAATGATGATTTTAATTTTGGAGATGAGCGATTTTTAAATGTGCCTCATAATTTCTCACTACTGATAAATAATGAAGTGAGCCCAAAATAGCATGTCGGCCAACAAACACTCCTTCCACCCCTGTCACCCAATATATTCAACAGTAACTGAGCAAAGAAAATGATATAACCTAACACAACATACCTCAGAGGCTAACAGCCAAGGAAAAAATGGATGCGGAGGTTCTTTGATCATAACGGAGAGACCTGCCTCCTGGGCTGTCTTAGAATTTTACTGGAAAGTTGACCAATTCCTGAGAATTCTCACTAAGATTCCCAAATCTGAAGAGAAGAAAATTGAGTGGGTATCCTCACCGTTTTGGGTGGTTCATGTTTTCTCTTGTGACTGAGAAATAGTAGAAATGAAGGCTTCAGCACAGCATACTGAATTGGGAGAATGATCGATCCTTAGCTCTTTGGAATGACGTTCCTTTCACCAACTAACCTTAGAGATTCTACCAAGAAAAAAAATCAACTCATTGAACCCATGGAATTAGATGTCTTAGTATTGCTTCCCACAAAGAGCACCTTAATAAAAACATGAATTTTAAAAAAGAAAAGCTTAAAGGTGAGATGATAAAACAAGAGAATGAGATAAGAAGGGAGATATAGAGCTCAGGAAATGATTTAAGAATGGAAAATCGTAATGATTATAGAAAAAATATTCATTAGAAATGGGAGAAAACAGAATAGGCCCTGGTAAAAATCTTTACACATAAAGGTGAAAGGTTTGAAAAAAATCAGAGTGAATGAAAAAGGAAACTGGGTTAATGCAATTAGAGAAAAGTCTGTAAATTTGGAAGACAAAGATAATCTAACAAGAAGATTGTGTCCCAGAAGTTGATATTCCAAAACAATGAAACAGAAGATAATTTTGCACAAATGAAGAAAAGTGATTTCACTACAAAAGAAGAAAGCAAATCTGCACATTAAAAGACCTCTCCATCTTTTAAAAAACTGGATTCAAGTGCTCAACAGACTCCTATCCTAATTGGGCTAGCAAATGGTAAATTGTAAATA